GCAACAAGTCTGAAAACCAAGAGTCGTGGTGAAAAGGATATCGTTATGCCCCCGGTTAAAGAAGTAGCGCAGGGCAATAAAGACAAACGCAAGGGTCTGATGCTGGACCTCACTAAATTGGATAAAATTGACAACAATGCCACAACAAATCGCAACAACTTGAAGGCAGCCTATATAAATGGCAATGGCATTTACTCAAATCTGCCGCCATATCCGGGTGCGGTGAACGGCTCTTCAAACAACAGCTCCAGTCTACAATCGATGGATAATGCCACAAATAATAATAATTCCTATATGACCAATAATAATTCATCGATGCAAACATCACAAACGTCAGGCTATCGCACCTCGTCTACGCACGAAATAAATCGAAATCATTTACTAACACCTTCCACTGAGAACATTGCCAATTACTCGTCCGACTCTCGCAGTTACCAGGATGACTGCGCATCAACGTCGACCTTCCTATCGCCCACTGAAGAACCTGAACTTTACTTCGATAATTGGTCCGTTTGCTCGGAGGATAATTATATGCTGCATGCCTCCCCATCGCCAACAGTGTCGCGTCTCTCGCGCGCATCCCAACTATCATCACCCACCCGTGGCGAGAGTTCCGATCCGAATGAAAGTGTAATTGATCGTATAAAGCGTCGCAGTTTCTATTGCCGCTTTAACGATAAGAAGCCCAAGCGCACGAGTAGTATTGTTGGACCGAGTGCAGTCCGTGACTATTATCGTGAACAACAAGCGGCGGTCAAAGCGCGTTCCAGCAATAAACTCAATCCCAGTGAACGCACCAAATCACCAGATATTACACAAGAATTCTTCCGACCATTGAAGTTGAGCCCCGTCGGTACTGAACTGAAACCACCCATTTACAAATCGCCGCTGGACTACGCCACCAACATCACAAAACCTCGTAAGAGTCTCAACGATATACGGCCCACCACATCGCCTTCATTGATCAACAAACGTTACGGTTCTGCGGCAGACACAGATTATATGACGTTGAATAGCGGCGTGCCAATACGCTACAAATCCTCAGCGAGTTCAAGCCCTTACGAGAGTAAAGGCACGTCGGCCATAAGTGGCGTAAGTTTGGGTGCTGGTGTAGGTGTAGGTGCGGGCGCGAGCGCAAACTACTATAATACCTACAGCCCGAAAAGACGTTCCTCATATACATTCAATGGCACACTGCCAAGTGGTGCAACGCTCACCAATTCCACATTGGATGGTTATGCGACGGTTGGTCGTCGACCTATACGCACATACGATCATCGCACCATGTCACTGCTTGACCCAACGACCTCTTCCTCATCGACAGCTGGCGCTAGTAGTTATAGGCGCGAAGCGCGAACACCGGTCAGAGACTACACAACGGGCATTTCGAGGTAGGAGGGAAATTATTTTTTAAATACCTCATAAAATTGCATGTCCAACTGCTCTCATTTAGAGAGGTTTCTCATTTTATTATTTTTATTTCCAATTAAAAAAGAAAAGATACAATTTTTGTACTTCTATCGATTTTCTTTGAATTATAGATCGAATTCGCGCTATCGTACCTCGTCGGCATCACGCAGCCCTACAAACATTTGATGTACAACACCGCAGAATGGTTTCTGTATCTTCTGCTATTACTCAAAACGAAATCGTACCAGCAGCACACATACCGCTTCGTCGTCATCCTCGAGAGCCAGTGGCGACAAGAAATTGCAGGAATGCACCAGTCGAATTAGAAATAAGTTTTAATTGTACTACAACAAAATAGCTTTCTACTTAAGATCAATAAATTTAGTAGTAAACTCATAAGATACATATTTATGTATAGATAAAAAGGTTGATTCAAACTGTTGAATAATAGTCTAAAATTTGTGAAAAAACTTTGAGCGTACGATTCAGGACTTTAGTCTTCTATGCAAAAATTGTTCCAAGATCCAGGAGAAAAAAGGTTTGATCGTAATAAGGTTCACAAAGAAGAAAGTTTGATTTTTGGTCTAGGCGCAAACCAACTCACGGTTGGGGTTAAGTAATGATCATTTTAGCGATTTTTTTTCGGATTAATGAGGCTTTTATTCATGAAATAAAGAGATAAAGCTAGTGGCTATGAACATCTGAAGCGAAATTTCCCTTATTTCTCTCAATCCTCTCATCTCGCTCACTTCATTTTTTTTCTGTATCTTGTTATTGTAGTTGATACAGAATTTCGCTTCTTGCTACCTATGCAAGAATGATAGAATACAAGATTGCGCATTCCTGCAGGTGATGACGTCAAGATAGCAACGAATAGGAAAGAGTAATTGGAGATGGAGGAGAGAAAGAGTGTTAACTGTCAAACTATGGAGGTCGCCATATTTACCTACATATAAACATCTCTGCATAATTGATTCTGTCAAATTCGCCAAGAACAAAGTAGCGGTACTGTTGACTGTGCCACGTCTGTCTCCCTACATCGTACTACCTATGCATGCTACCACTTTGCAATGGGGCGCTCTCGTACTCTTCCGAATTTGTAAGAGTATTTTTGCATTTCGAGCAATCCGTGCAACGTGCAAGACTTTCAGAATACCCACTTTGAAACAACGCCGAACTAGTTCCAAATTGTACTTGAATCGTGAACTTGTCCTAAAGTGATATCGAAAAAGTATTGAAACAGTCCCGAATTGGTACTTTATTAGTCCCAAAATGAACCCCTTGAACTAGTCCCGAAATGGTCCTGGACCTGTCCCAAAATGAGCCTGAATTACTAACGAAATGTTCCTGAACTAGTATCGAAATGATTCAGAACTAGCTCTCAAATAGTCATGAACTAGTCTCAAAATGGTCTTGAAAAGGTCCCAAAATGATACCGAACAAGTCCCGAAATGGTCATGAAATAGTCCTGACGAGTCCCGCAGTCGAGAACTAGCCCAGTAATGTTCATTTGTACACAAAAGAAGCAATTACAGATTTTTTGCTGGGTTAATGCAAATTTTACCCATACCGAGAGCTGAGATGTTTTCAAAAATTTTATTTTACGACAAGAGACTTTTAGTTAGTTAATTTCGCTTGTGTCCACGTTTAAAGCAGTAACAATCTATACGAAAACAAGCAGCTGATTCTGTCAAGTTCACCAAGAATAAGATAGAGGTTCTGCTGAATGTGTCACTGTTGTCTTCTAAGCATCATGGACTGAGTTAATAGGCATTTTTACACGTGATTTTAGAGGCAACTAGTTGAATCAAAAGTTGGCTGCCGATCAACTTCGTTGGAAGTAATTGCTTGAAAGCCCGTTCATACCAGACGAATGCTGCTTTCAACTAAATGTCGCCTCATGTAAACACCGCATAATAATTTCTATTAGCATTGCGACCAATACTCAAATCCAATACTCATCATCATCACTGAAAATAGCAGCAATTTTACAAATTTAAAATTTTACAGAGCTGTTCTGATAGAGCTGACAAACCATATAAAATCTGTTGATGAATAAAGTGGAAATTAGATAACTTATCATAAAGCAAGTGAAATCGATGCGTCATTTAATTTTTGCATGTCTGTTTAGGAAACATATAAGGCAGCGGCTAAAAGTACGCAACGATCAGTTATTGTGAGGATGCAACATCTAGTTACACGCCCCTCATATTGTCAGTTTTGGCTTATTACGCATTGCTTATGTTACCTTTTCATATTGCATACTTTTAGGCCTAACTGATTTTCTTTTAGAGAATTTTGGCGACGAAGATTTAGAGTAGCGATTGTCAAAATTCCACTGCAGTACTATGCCCAAACTGCTACTGAAATGTCCCCAGTGAAACCAAATGTGAAAGCACTTGAGTGATGGAAAGTAATTTGAATGAAAGTAAGTAGTTTACGCAGTAATGTGAACACAGTATAAAGACGTCAATTAATCTGTTAATCGAAGATATGGCTTCGAATTTCGGTAGGTGGTTGTATGTATGTATTTCTCAAAACATGTGTCATATGATCTTTTTCTTTGCTGATGACGATATATGAATAAACGCACACTTTATGTTTTCGGTGTGAATCATTCGCTAAACGAGTTTAAACTCCATAAATCATACATATATCACGAAAGCCTTTCACTTTTTTTTGAAAAATAAAATTTTCGCAATTTATTGTGGTGTACAATTAGGCACAGCATGTACGAAAGTGTGAGACGAAGTCGATCTATTCAACCAAAGTGACTGATTATCGTGATATATGGTAAAGTATCGGTTACACGTGGTAATGCAAATAGTTTCGAAAAGTTTGTGTAACTCAAGACTTGCGAAAAGTAGTTGCAAAGGCGTGTGCGAAGTGACTTTCGAAAGTTGTTTTTAATTTCCGAGAAGCAATACATACATAATTATATAAAATTTTACTCAAAAGTAATTTTTATTATTCAACTCAAATTCATCAGCAATTAATTGGTTGACCACACTTTCAGCAAATGTTAAAAATTCTAAAGCAGCACGAGCAAGTGGAAATTAATTTTCGCAAATGACTTAGCTGAAGTGGCACTTTGAAAGTTCTTTTTCGAAATTGATTTTTCTATTTTGTTAAAAAGTACTTTTCGGGTGTTTCCACGGGAAATTAGATTTCAAGCTCGTAATTTTACAGCCTATAGGTAAAGTGTTTGCATTGCAATGCTTAATTGCACTTCTAGCCCATGTATAAGTAGAAACGAAAGCAATTTTTGTACATAGTACATATAACGAAAAATTAGTTTAATATGATTTTCATACGAACTGTTCTACATACAGATATACGTATAAGTGTATTTATAGTGACTGATTTTAGGTAATGTTAATTAACTTTTAATAAAACGATCGCAATATATGTACGTTTTTTGTTTTGTTTTTTAATTTCAACATTATCAATTGTGCCTTCTTTGTTTCAGTGATTAACTCATAATGTGTTTAACGCTTATAAATAACAAATTTGAGTAAATGTAATTCAGTACAATAACAACAAGTTGTTGCAGACTTAACGTTGATAGTTTAAGCGTGCGAGCTTGCGATAAAAGCTCTTATTTTAAATTATAATTATGTAAATGAGTAGATATTTAAAAACATAATAATTATTAAATATAAGTATAATGCCAATATTTATTGATTTAGTTTGTTTTGCAGTTTTTAATAGCTAAAAAATAAACAAAATGTTTTGCAAATAATTAAACACACTCAAAATTTTAATAAATAAGTTGCAATTCAGTTTTTCAATATCTTTCAGTCAAAAGTCAAAAAAGCTGTTTCAGATTTTTGAAAGTTGATTGAACGCCTTTAGGGCCGGATCACGCGATTGGGTATTGTACTAAAATTTGGCGTGTGATCGATTAAAAATTTTTCTTTCAAAATATGTTTTCAGGTCTTGTACGAATCCACTGTAGGTAGTTTGATCAGTGTTTGTGGAAAACATCGTTTTTCGTACCTACAAAACAAAAACTTTCTATATATATTTTTTATTTTTTTGATATGAAAATTGAAGTCGCTTAAAAATTACTTGTTTTTATTTTATGTATGTTACCTCATATATAGTTTTTTTATTTCATGTATGTTACCTCATAACTTTGGACCACGTTAACCGATTTTGATTGTTTCCTTTTTTTATCGGAAAGGTGGTACGCTTTCGCAGAGCCAAATATATACATCTGACATAACCTTTAATTAATTTCTTATATCTAAAAATGAAATTTGTTAAAGCTATTAAAATGTTGGCCGTGTTAGATTATTGAAAAACTGTAAAATAAAGAGTTTTGAGTTTAATTCGTCAACCTCAGGTTGACAGTTCGTGAGAAAATATTTTTATGTTGGTAGGATACTCTCAGTAGTGAAATATTTACCATTTTTTGAGAAGAACTCAATAAGGAGAGGCAACAAAAGGCTGTTTACAATTCTGTTTGTGCAAAGGCTGCTTCTTTTAAATGCTCAGCAAAGAAATTGGAAAATTCATACCTTGCAGGTGTTTAATTTAAATTAATATAATTTGTGAATATTTTTAAAAAATAGCCACAATTTTTTAAAATTAAGTGACATTTTTTTTCTTTAATACAAACATTTTGCAAAACAAAAATGAACTCAAACTTTACCAATAAAACCACAACTTAAAAGTGACCTCTTTAGACCCAACGGTCGTCAAGTGTTAAGAATTTTTTGCAAAAATGTGACAAGCAACGAAATGTCATGTTATTTTATACAATCTACTTTCTTGGTTATAATTATTTTTCGCCACAAAAATCGGTCAAATTACCCATAGTGCAATCATGTGAGAGTGTTAACGAATTAGTTGCGCCAATACTTAGATCCAAATCAAAATTGGCGCTAATTTGTACAATTGTGCCAATAGTGTGATCCCACCCTCGTACAATTTTTTAAGACGATATGTCTTTGTTCAGTTTGTGACATTTAAATTAGCTTATCTAGAACTTCAATCTATGACTTTTAAATATATACTCCGATACCTTTAAATACATACAAACATACACATGTGCGTTTAAGTAAGTTTTGTAGTGATTTTGAAGGAGAACTGACTTTCAGTTTCAATGCAAATAAATTTATTAATTAAAATCAATAACAAAATATTATAACTGAAAAGTTTTGAGCCAAAAAAAAGTTGCGCAGAAACCCAAATACCAAGTTAAAGACGAAATAGAAAATTGTTATATCATAGAAATGTTGCAATTATTATAAGCAAATTCGAAAACAACTGAAAAAATATTTAACGATAATATCTAGTGCATACAAACATACACACTGCAATTGTAATTGTATATGTATATAAGACTTGAATGTTGTATGAATAATAAATATACAAGTTTTAGAAACAGCGAA